TTCCGATTGTTTGTTGCAAATATTCCCTGATAAACTAAAGGACATCAAATGACTAAAAGACAGAGAAAAATTAACTGGACCCGGTATATATTCCTGTGGACAGGCTAACGTTCCGTTTAAGTAGCCAACTATACTGTTGCCATCATTTCCAACTGCCTAACTGTTGTGGAGAAATCAAGTTTTTGGTTTAAAATGAAAACCTGATTGACCATTGGGAAACATGCAAATCATAAACTGCTACTCAAGCCTAGCAACTGGGATGAGCAAGTGATGATGACCAAGCCAGGCTCAGAAAGATGCAGCAGAGCAGCAGAGCAAGACTAACTCAAAACAAACTCAAAGCATCGCTTGAGCTCACAGGCATCATCTCAGTGATCTCTTTTTGCCCACACAGGGACTCTTTCATCTTCGTGATTTGCAAACAGGGGCACGTTAATCCTCACAACATCCTTGGGAGCTAGGCAGCTGGTACATGTTATGATCCCTGGAATTAGTGATGGAAAGAGGATAATGATAGGGACAAAAAGTAAGACACACCGAACAGTATCAGAACCGTCACATCCAAACACCCGTGGCTTTCCTAGGAAGAAGACGTTATACACATGGAAACTGTCCAATGTATTCTCATCCATCACAACAGTGCGAAGACTCAACTAGTTTTTGAAAGTCTAATGCATAAAGAGTTGACTTGCACATTGTTAAAAGGGAAAAAGAACTTTTGGGAAGTCAGGCACTTATTTTAAGGTTTTTTTTTTTTTTATGAAAAACACTAGTTAGAGACTCCATTGGGTCTCATGCCTGCTGGTTATCCAAGTGTGGGGAAGAGATGAGTTTTAGCTCAGGATTTTGGGGGAACTTCCTTCCAGAAGGGAAGAGCCCAAGCAAGAGAGACCTCCCAGGTAAATCAGACACCCCTAGCGCTACCCAGAAGAATGGAGTGGAACCTATTCTTGCCTTTGGATTAATAGCCAACATAAAGTTGAACCTCTAGTGTCCACAGCAGTCTCCTCTACCCCCACCCTTCCACTCCCAAGACGACAAATAAAATCAACCCCATTGGGGCTATTAGATTTGTGCTGGGGAAGAAGAGAACTCAGAGAAGGAGTTAAATGCACTTTTTTAGGGATGAACACAGAGTTTCTCTGAGCTTCCTCCCAAGTTTCAACAAGTCATTTGCCTTCTGGAAGGGGGAGGAAAAGGAGAGAGGGCTCTTGCTGCCTACACCATGCCCTTCACAGGTTGGGGCCTGTGACAAGACCCCAAGGCTCTCCAGAGGAGCAAGGATTTGCATGAAGATAAACTCTGCATCCATGAGAGAGCCCAGCGTGGTAGCATCCCTACCCCAGAGCAACTTTCCAGAGATCAACTCGTCCAGCTGAATGATGTCCCCCAGGTGCACATGCCCGCGCTAGCGCTGGCTCTCTCTCTCTCTCACACACACACACACACACACACATACACACACACACACACACAAACACGCTCCCCAACTCTGACAGTCTCAGATCCCACTAGGTTTCCAGACTTGCAGCCCCTAATGCAACCGCTTTCGAACACTTTTCAAAGAAGGTGCACGCAGGCCCTGGAGGGACAGGAACGGGTACAGAGAGGCCTGGCAGGGAGGTGGGGAGGACGAGGGCACATTCTTTCCTAGCTGGCTGAGTAAGGTACCAAAGCCCCTAGAAGGAGGAGGCTCACGTGGAGGAGGAGGAAAGGAAGGGGCGCACTGAGCCAGAGGGAGGGGACACCCGAAGGGGGAGAGGAAGTTGGAAGGGGAGTGGGAGGAGGGAGAAGTGGAGGAGAAGGAGGAGGGAGAGAGAGAAGAGCGGAGAGAGGAGGAGGGCGGTGGGAGGCGTTGCTCAACGCGCCCTTTCAAGTCTCCGCTCCCCGCCCCCTCCCCG